CTGGCCCGGGAAGATCCCACATGCCACGGAGCGGCTGGCCCTGTGAGCCATGGCCGCTGAGCCTGCGCGTCCGGAGCCTGTGCTGCGCAACGGGAGAGGCCACAACAGTGAGAGGCCCGCGAACCACAGAAGAAAAAAAAAAAAAAGGTAACATGATCCCGACAGTACTAGAAATGGTCTGTATCTGAACTGTATCATTGTCAATATACTGGCTGTGATATCATACTATAGGTTTGCCATTGGGAAAAGGGACATGGAATCTCTGTATTACTTTTTACAACTGCATGCAAATCTATAATTATCTCAAAATAAGATTTTTTTTTAAAGAGCTCTAATCCAGTTTTTTTAAATGATAATGACAGGTATCCTTATTTTTCCCCGACTTTAATAAGGATATTTTCATTGTTTCAACATTAATCGTGATGCCAACTGATATAACAAAGATGCAATTAATCCAAATATATCAGCAATCACGATAAATACAAATGGATTAAATTCACATACATAGATGTATTATAGAAGTATCCATCCATTCCTTTCCATTGAGTTTTTTAAAAATCTGCAGAGACAATAGTCAAATGCAAATGTAATATTTGTACAAATGAGAGAGGGCAAGTGTGGCAAAATATTAACAATTGATGAATTTCAGTGATGAATATATGAGAGTTCATTGTATTATTCTTATTCTTCCAACGTTTATGTTTACGTCTTTTCAAAAGAAAATATAAAAATGTTAAAGAGGTAAACTAAAACTCCAGATAATAGCAATGTGTGGCTCATATTCAATGGGTAGTTAAGTTGCTAGGATCCTTGCTGTGTTTAGGAAGAATATAGAAATACTGACTAATTTGATACGTTGTTTTAAAATTTTATAGTTAATAATATACATTTAAAATTTAAGGGTAACCAAGACGAATTAAAAAAAAAAGCCCAATTTAAAAGAATTGAAATTTGTCCAATATGCCAGTAATCACAATAAAGGTAAGTGAATTAAACACACCTGTTTAAAGACAGACTCTCAGATTGGATTTAAAAATACAATCCAGGCCTATACTTAATATGTCACTCTTACAGACTACACATAAACTGAAACTATATCCAAAAAATATAAAAATAAAGGACTCTAGAATATCATTTAATATAAAACGTATTTCCCCCCCGCCAAAAAAAAAAGCTGGTATGGCAGAGCTAACAGCAGACAAAACAGAATTTAAGGCAAAGAAGATTTCTAGAAATAAAAAGTGACATAACTTATACACATGGTCCAATGTTCTTCCTGAAAGAATCTTATCATTTTCCATTTCCAACAGCAAAGTGTGAACAGTATTCCCAACAAGCATTTCAATGTAGGGCAGTATCAACATGTTGTTTATATTTGCAAACTCGATCAGCAAAAAGAAAAAGGAATCTTTTTGTAGTTTAATTTCAAAGCTCATATTCTCTTAAACACAGCACCAAGCATACAACAGATGTTTTGCAATTAATAGCGGGCTGGCTGCTCAGGAAAGCAGAAACTGGCATTCCTTTCAGAGTCCAAGCGGGCACTCAGCCTTGGGGGCAACGTCCTGGGCGGGGGAGGACCTGCCCCCCCAGGGCTGAACAAGAAGTCAGCTGCACCTGCATCACCTGACCAGCAGCCCCAACCCCATGGTCTACATCTGCTCTGAATTAACTCTCAGCAGCTTATTTTTCTATATAGCACAGGATTTACTTTCTATACAATCACCACAAAGCCGTTCAGTGCCCTGAGGAGGCAAACAAGAACAGTTCTTCTATGACCAAGTCTGAAGGACCAATTCCCTTCAATTTCACACAAAACTTTCATTAAAAACTCTTGACTAGAATTAGGTGCAGTTAGCAATTTCCAAAGAAATTGCCGATATATTTTCCCTGGAAACAAAGAGAAAAAGGAAAACATTTCTATAAAATTTAGTAAAAACTTACTGAAATTGTTAATAAAAAATTCTTTGAATTTACAATCAAATGACAAATTGATGCCAGGCACTCTGCTGAAGGCTTTCACACTGTGTTCTCTGACCCAATTCTCAGAAACAATCCATTTAGGTGGTATCATTATCCCCATTTTACTGACAGTCAAACTGAGCGCCGAAAGGTTAAATGACTTGCCCAATGCCAAAAACCAACAAGAGCACCCATGCCTCAAACCTAGAGTAATGAGCTCACAGAGGTAAGCTCTAATGCAGTCCTGTTATTCATATTATCTCCAGCATGGTTATGAGTGAAAATAATAATTCTCATTAACCAGCCTGGATCATTTAGGATACTCTGTGTAATAAAGTCTTCAGAAGAAAGCAACCATTACGATTAATATGAGCAGAAATCTCAGATTCGATATTTCTAGTCATGTTCTGGAAAAATTCTTATGCATAGTTACAGCAACAAGCACTTCAGCCAAGAGAAGACAGTTAATCATTCCAAATAATGCTGGATCCAGGTGATATTATTCCCTGACAGACTGGGCTTCTCGTGCACACACTTTTGCTGATACAGCTGCTCTCACTTGATGCTTTAGAAAGGTTTTCTGATTTACGGTTTGAAGTTGAAATTACCCAAGAGTTTTAAAAGCAGTAAGAAAGCCACATGCATTTTACTGTCACCATCTCAAAATTCTGCCTTTCATTTTTGCCTACATTTTTTCCTGAGTTGCTGGAATGTATATATGGCTAAAGAGAAGAAGAGAAATAATTCCTTAAAATGGAAAACATCGCAAAACTATATGTGATATTTTAAAGTCATGAAGTGAAAATAAAACAACAAAACCCCTTTGGTCTCTATGGTCACTTGCAGGAAAAATAAGTGAAGGAGGCAAGGCAAACACACTCACATTTTTTAGTGTGTCTTTTCCATTTGTTTTCCCTGCCAGAGCGCTACATCGTATTTACCAGGGCCTGTACACATGCAGAGAAATGAAAATAGACCTTGCCTGCTGCAGGCCAGAAATGAGGTTTCCTTTTATCTGGCACCACGTAGCTTCTAGCTAGAAGCATGTTCCTAATGGAAGCAATCACTCACCAATGGCTTTAGATTTTGTTGTTTTTGTTTTAAAGGATTCACCCAAAAAATCTCTATGAGAATACCAGTATCTTTTCAATTTTCAGCAAGGGACTCTTTTTTAAGCGACCAATACATACTTGGCAATTCTGAGCCAGATCACTTTCACTATTTATGGGGTTCTTTCCTCCATTTTTTTTTTATTATGGTAAAAATCACGTAACATAAAATTACCATCTTAATCATTTTTAGTCATTGTTAGTGTTTTCAATAAAATAATAGCCCTAAGAATATAAAAAATCCTTTAAAACATTTATCCTTTTTAAGTATCACTGTAAATATTTCTGCTGTCTCGGGAGCAGTGTTGTAAAAGGCATCATGCTTCAGCTACAGCATAAAGGTTCGCCCACTGCAGCTCCCATGGAGTTAATTAAACAAGCACAATTCAGGTGCCTACCTGGTTATCTGAAAACACGTTTTTCATATGAAATGTGGCACAGATAAATTATATCCACAGATCATTTTTCAAAGTCAATTTTATCCTCACATTTTCCAAATCTTTGGCTAAAATATTATCCAATAAAAGCAAAATGGCTTTGTGTTTTTCACCTCTTTTCTCTACTCAGTCTTTTCTTTGAAGAATGGGGGTGGAGGGCCAGGATGTAAAGAGCATTAAGCGGGGAGCAGCAAGACTCCTAAATGAACACAAGGAATCAGTAGTTAGCTCTTTGAATAACCTAGAGTTGATATGCTGAAAGGGTCAAGCCTGTAATTTTCAGCTGCAAAAAACATGTCTATGAAGGTAACATGCAGCAAAAACAAAATAATATTCTGAAAAAATGCTCTCACTTCTTTGGGTTCTGTTCAAAGATTTTACGCAAAAACCCCTATATGTGTTTCATTAAGGCTCCTAACTATTAAATGCTAGTTACTCTGAATGGCAAGTCAAAATACAAATACAAATCAAAATAAATACAAAATTCAAAACACATGTTAAAAGAACACCAAATTCTTTGAAGTTGTTCTTGAAAAAGTTCCTGTTGTCCAATTAAAGGAAGTTTTTGTTTTCTGTTTTTGGATTTTTTTTTTAAGAGGAAGAAGAGGAGGAGGGAGGGGAGGAGGGGGAGGGGGAGCAAAAAGAACAATGCAGAGGAAAAGTCTTTTTATTAAAGATCAAGCAGCCAACTCAGATTTAAAATTGAGTTCCATGTACACTGTATCTCAGGAACACCCATTCTGGCATGTCCTAAATTACATGTCATCTCTGGCTGGGAATAATAGGCCAAGATAGGCCAAGCCCAAGAAGAGCTGGTAATCAAAGGCAAGACAACTACACTCAGGAGAATTTCTCTAGTATCTACCTACAGAATGCAATTAGTCACATCTAAAAATTGCTTTCAAAAAATGCAGTTCAAAGACTGAGTTTCCTTTTGCTATCCATTCACAATATTTGTAGAGATTTGACGTCTTTTGACATAATTATATCAGTTGCAATACATATAATGTCCATTCAATTTTACAAAGTACATTTTAATCAAAGCTACATGTATCTTCTGACCTTTAAGAGACTCAAAATCATTGTTACAACAGTGAGAAACAAGCGGTCTCTTATCAAACACAAACCTGGTTCCGATTACTTTTTGTATTTGAAGCTGACGTAAGTAGTTTGCTCTGTCTGGAAATTTAAAATCAATTCCCAAATGAAAATGGTACTCTTGAGCCCACACCAGAGTAAGTTTCTTACTCTCCTTGCCCAGTCTTGGTCAAAACCTTAGCACTACTCAACAGCAACTAAAATCTTGAAATCAATTTAAAATCTCTATCCTTGCCAAAACGTTGTATCTACAGAGCTGACTCTATAAATAATGATAAGTGATCAGTAAGGTTAAAACTGGACCTTCAACTATCCAATCCTTGGTTTGCATTAAAAAAAAAAAAAGCTTATGAGTTTGTTCACTTTAACTATGAAATCAAATGAAAATTCTGACCTTGTGATGCCCAAATTCATTCAAAATGGTTCTCAGTTTTCTGGTGTTGCTATATGGTTTTTGGGCAGCAACAGCTGGATGGGAGTCCCGCCAGTCGACGGACAAGCGGTGATACCAAAAACGCTCACTCTCCAGAATATGAGCTGATTTAACAGTAGGATCAAAACGATGCACTTCACATCCATCATTGGCCATGCTGACCTCAAAATGGGTATCATCACTTCCCAGCCTGTAAAGAAAGAGGATGAAAATCAACAACAAAAAACTATATGGAGCAAAAGTGTTGTATTGACAAAAATCACAGTGCCAAGGTCAATTTTCTTAGTCATATCAAGCCTTCTCCTGTTTTAACACATGGCTGGTTGTACACATTCCATAAACCTTCCTTCACAAAAAGCATTAAAGCTAAAAGCTTCTGGATAAAAGAAAGGAGAGAAATTATGTGCTAAATGCAGACCAGAGAACCACATGTTCAAACATGTAGAAGCATATCAAATTGATTTTTTTGAAAAAGATATAAACTGTAGTAGCAATGAAACAAAGAAGACTATCTAGTCGTCTTAAGAGATTTTCTCAGAATATGTCAAAAATATAAGTCTGAGCAACAGTTCCCTTAGGGAGAGCTGCATGGCCATGGTGCTGTGCGTGCAGTTTGACTTAAAGACAACAGCTGTTTTCTTAAGAACGGAGTGCATTTTAAATAGTACAGTTAAAGAAAAAAGGCAGACGTATGTGGTTCTACTGGATCTAGTACTCAAAAAGCAAGAGGTATATCACCTAAATTCACATCAGCAGGGGGTAGAAATCATGAATTAATTGTATTAAGTACCCAGTTAGGTAACACATATTGTGGAATATTCATAGTTACAAATTTTTAATTTACTCATAAATATTCCTTACTTGGTGATGTAAGATTCATAACTTTGATTAAAGCATCATTTTGAATGAAAAAACATGAAATTAACCAAGAGAAGATGATTTTTTTTTAAAAAATGGTGATTATGACTTTTCTGCCCCAAATACTATAATTAGATGTGCTTAAAGATACCAAAATCCCAGAGTATCTATAATGCATTGGCCAAACCTGAACCCAAGGCAGAAATGCTTCATCCTCTTAGACTCTACTATTACAGACTATTTTATAATTTGGAAATATACAAGCTTATTGGGTAACAATTTAGTTAACTAAAATAAGTCTTCACTACAGAGATCTTCCACCTAAACATTCTTAATATTCTGTTTGCCTTGTTCTCTCCCTTCACTCCCACTACATTCTTTTAATCTCACTGGACCCATGTCATGTTAGCCCTCTGCTATTCTTCAGCTATAATTCTCTTGACACTTTTGGCTAGAAAAAGATTCAGCACTCTTCTCACGAACATTCCCATTCCTTCTACCCAAGAGATCCTGCTTCCTATTTTCAACCTCCTATTGAACCCACACAGCTCTGACCATTGTAATCTCTATCCCAGCTTTCCCCCAATTTGTTCATTATCTAATCTGGTGTTGCAGATTGACTTGCTGGCCCTAACTCTTCACCCCTTCATCCACACTACTGCCATGCTCATCATGTATGGAGTGTCCTTTCCTGTCCCTTGATTTTTTGGCTTGGCTATGTGACTTGCTTTTTGGAAGAAAGGGATATGATACCAGTCCTGATCCTAGGCTTCGAGCACTTCAAAAATGAACAATGGTTCACTCTTTTGTACTATTATTGTGACAAAAACATACCCTGGATAGCTTGCTGGTCTCAGGAAACTAAACGACATGAGGAGCAGAGGTGTCCCAGACAATCCACTGGCCTTCTATGAAACACAGAGCTGCCCTTAGCCACCTCAGCCTGAAGTAAAGTCTCTCAGCTGAGCCTGACGTGGATCAACTGAAGCTCAGCTGATCTGCAGACATGTGAGCAACAATAAATAATGGTTTTAAGCTACTGAGTTTTAGAGTGACTTGTTACATAGCAACAGCTAACTGATAAACCTGGCATTAAATGTGTATCTAAGAGTTGCAGTAGACGCTGCAAAGCACTTTTTAGTACACAGATTTATTTCTTTATAGATCAGAATGTTATAGAACTCACCTGTCCCAAGAGATTTTTCACTTAATTGAATTTGCTGAAATTTAGGGAATTCCCTGGCAGTCTAATAGTCAGGACTCCACACTTTTACTGCAAGGGCCTGGGTTCGATCCCTGGTCGGGGAACTAAGATCTCGCAAGCTGCGTGGCATGGCCAAAAAAAAAAGAATTTTTTGAAATTATATGAGCAAAACCTGTGTTATCATGGAAACATGGAACCCAATGGGAAAATGGCAGTCCTGTAGCTTTACTAAGAGAACAAAACACTAGTCAAATAAGTACTCATTAAATATAATTTCCATATAAATTTTCTATGTAAAAAAGTGAATGATTTCTCCATGAATTTTCAAAATATAATTTCAAGAAAACACTTTCCACTGTAAAACATGTATGTATTTTAATCAAGCCCTCAGAAATTTTTAAGAATTAACCACATAACAGCTGTGTAACTAGTTTTTTTTAGTAAGGCACTATATTATGTATTGATATGTTTTCAATTTAAACTAGCTTCTTACAATTAAAAAAATAACAAACACAATTAGAAAAAGTTAAAGTTGTATATAAGTATATAAAACAAAAAGTTTCCTACCACGAGAATTTTAGCCATCAATTTCCAGAGATAATCAGTTAGCAATTTTTTGTGTATTCTTCCAGAGATTTTCTACACATGTACAAGGATTCTCTATTAGAAATATCATAAGTACACATACACATATATAAGTTAATCATTAGATGAAGAGGAACTATTCTGTATGATACACTAAATAACACGAAACTACCGAAATTTGTAAATTTTTTGTTATGCTACTTTTACTAAACAAAATCCATTTAATCTAAATATATAATATGTACTGTGTTGGAAAGTAATAAACTACATTTATTTAATCAAGGTCTGTAATTCTTACTTTCATTTATTCAAAATGGTATTGCTACTTCTTCACACTTAGTTTAAATTAGTCAAGTTTGTGGTAGGTGTAAAAAGCAACAGGGAGAAAAAATTTAATATACATAAGTGTTGCAAAAAGTGGCCCAAAGGGGTAAAATCAGGACTCAAATCCAATCCAGGTAGTTCCAAAGCATGTGCTCTTTACACTCTACCTCACTGCAAGTAAGGGTAGGACACAGAATCATGGAAGGAATATTTGTGAACTTAGGGATCTAGGAAATTGTCAGCTACTAGATAGTAAAGCTCCATGAAGTAAAGGGCTGTGTCAATCTTGCTTATTTCTGTATCCCTAGTGCTGAGGAGATAGATGAATGATGACAGACAAACCCACAAAATGCTGCACTAAGTAAAAGAAAACTATTAGGTAGGGTCTGGAATTCCCAGAATATACAGTACAATATCCAACACAGCATGGAATGGGCTACATTTCACTGACTTATTCATGTTTATTAATAAATATTTACAGAGCACTTTATATGTTCAAGGCAGTACCCTAGACACCAGAGACAGACAGATAAATTAAACATGATCCTTGATCTGAAGAAACTCAGAAGCAGTAAAGAAGAAAGATTTTTGAACAAATAACTACAATAAACTAAGTAAAAGAAAATTATTTTTTATAGCAAAAATGTATTTAGTCTATAAGGAAATTATTTTCTGCTCTTATCTAACTGGAAAGAGAATTCGCTGTAGAAAATTTTACTTTATAGAAATTATCTGTCTATCTGTATCTATATATATACATATATAGATATAGATCATGATCATATGGCTTTTACCTCAAAGTCTAAGACAGTTGTTCCAGTTCCTGCCATCACAACTGCATTCCAGCCATCAAGAAAAGTAAAAGGGGAGGTGAAGGTCACATCCTTTCCTCCTAGGCGCATGGCCTAGAAATTGCACACATCACTTGCACTCATATCACATTGCTCAAAGTTAGTCATATGGCCACTTGTAGCTGCAAGGAAGGCTAGAATATGCAATCTTTGGCAAGGTGGCCACGTGCCCTGCTAAACTCAGGAGTTCTGTTACCAAAGAAGAATGGAAGAATGAATACTGGGGGACAATTAGCAATTTCTACTATAACCCATTTTTGAAATAGTTAAGCTGTTAATACATATATTCAAAGGTATAAGCCTTCATGAAGACTGTAACCTATCCTTCTATGTGGCAGAGAGATAAATGATATAACTCATGCTTATAAATATTATGCTGTATATGTTAATGGAGAGGTTTGAGATCACAAAAACTCTTCAGTACAGAAAGGTCATCAAATCTGAGGGATTTGTTGAAGAAATAGGAAGGGGGCAGATAAAAGGACTAAACAGCCAAAGGTAGTAGAATAACAGAGTAACCATTTTTGCCTTCCTCTCCTGATGTCTCAGAAAGCAACAACTAGGATCCCTAAGTGTGGGTGTGCGGGATGTGCACTAAACAACTCTAGGGGGCACCACGCCTAATCATTATAATGATTATGCAGCAGATAAGTAAAGGTTCTTGAGAGAGCAAATGCCTTTCCCATGTTGTATAAAAGTGTCCCTTGAACTAGCTACAGTGCTGGCAACTGCATCCCCTTTAGTGTTACTGAAGAGTAGAAGGGATGGATGTGGCACTGTTTCAAGTCCTTGGTTATTCTTTTAAAATATTTCTAAGAGTATTAAGGTGACTATCCTTTATGTTCCCTAAGAAGCAAAAGCTCAGAGTATAAACACATGAAGAGATGCTCAAGATCATTAGCCAGTAGAGAGAAACAAAATAAAACTATAATGAGATACCATTTCACATCTACTAGGATGGCTATAATCAAAAAGACCAATAATAGTAAATGTTGATGACAATGTGGAGAAACTGAAACCCTCATACATTGCTGGTGGGAACATAAAATGGTATATAACCAAGAGAAATGAAAACATATGTCCACGCAAAAACTCATACATGACTGTTCATAATAATATTATTCCTAGTAGCCAAAAAAGTGGAAACAACCCAAATGTCTATCAGCTGATGAATGAATAAATAAAATGTGGTATATCCATACAATGGATTATTATTTGGCAGTAAAAAGGAATGAAGTACTGATACATATTACAACACGGATGAACCTTGAAAGCATTATGCTAAGTGAAAAAGCTAGTCAAAACACCACATATTATATGCTTTCATTTATCTGAAATGTCCAGAATAGGTGAATCTATAGAGACAGAAAGTAGATTAGTGGTTGCCTAGGACTGGGAGACAAAGAGCTGAAAGAGGGTTGGAGGGAATTGACAGTCAGTGCTACTGGGTACAGGCCTTCTTTCTTGCGGTGATGATAATGTTCTAAAATTGACTGTGGTGACTAGAAACCATTGAATTGTACCCTTTAAATGGATGAATTGTGTGTTATGTGAATTATACCTCAATTTAAAGCTGTTTAAAAAAATAAAATCAGAGCAGATACAGGGAAAGTTTTTAACTCTCATCACTGAAGACAGAAAGGCTGGAAGAAGTAAGACAATTACTGTTTTTCCCAGGAGGAGTTTCAGTCGTCCATTCCTCATCCTAGCAGGAACCAGAGAATCTGGCCAAATAATTATCTAGATCTGTAAACTGCCAACTACTAGAGAAGGAGAAATAGGTTTTCCAAAGCATAAATGACATTGAATAGTGGATTAAAATATTTTATAATTATTAATTTTTATTAAATAACATTGCATAAAATGACAAGACTTCATCTAAAATATATTCTTAACAGGGATGATATCACACCTAAGGGGGCAAAAATTGATTCTTGAGGGCCAAAAAAAATCTTCTTGTTTTTATGTCTAAAGCATAGATAATACATATGTTACATAAACAGATATACGGTGTATCTATAGTATTAAAATTTCATGGGGAGAGTGATTAGGAAAAAAATTGTCTAAAAAGGGTCCTTGGGTCCATGATTTTCTGATTCCTCATTCATATAGAATATGAGCTCCTGGGCTTCCCTGGTGGCGCAGTGGTTGAGAGTCCGCCTGCCGATGCAGGGGACACAGGTTTGTGCCCCGGTCCGAGAAGATACCACATGCCGTGGAGCGGCTGGGCCCGTGAGCCATGGCCACTGAGCCTGCGCGTCCGGAGCCTGTGCTCCGCAACGGTAAAAGCCACAACAGTGAGAGGCCCACGTACCGCAAAAAAAAAAAAAAGAATATGAGCTCCTGCTGTGCTAATTAAACTATTAAAAGATAAAAATTTTGGCTCTGAAGCTCATTCCATTCCTCTTGAAATGCTCAGGGCAACCAGAAGTCCCAGATTTTCTGCCTAAGGTATTGGTTCTTGTTGCCTAACCATGTATCATGTATCAAATTTTCTTCTTTCTCACACTGAGAATCTGTCTTCAAACCAAATGGTATTAACATGTCAGAGAACTAAAGGAGAGATGAAAAAGATTTACCTATGTATTATCCCTTCTCAAGTTTTCTCTTCTATTCCCACTCCTACCCCTGAAATATAATCTTTGATATGAAGGATAAAAAGATGATTTTCCCAATGCACTTTAGCTACCACCCTCATCCCCACCCCATCTCCCCACCATCACCCCTCCACCTCACACACAAAAAGACTTTCAGGGCAGGCCCCATCTAAAGTCATGCAGTTGACAAAATATTATCATGTGAACCCACAGCCTCTCCTCATATCTCTTCTCTTTCTCTTTCTCCGTAACATAACCTTCCTTTTCAGTGCCTTCCCCTATCTTAATTGGTCTATTCTATCCCTTTTCAAAATTAAAAAGGATCTTCTTTAAATTTTCAACTGAACTTTACTCAGAGTATACTCTCCTAGAAAAATGTCTTTTACATTAACTACAGAATAAAAAGCTTTGATTCTTAGTAAAGAAATTTCAGACATCAGAGAGAAGGTAGAGGTGATGGCTGCTTCAGTTCTTGGGAGTGGAAGAAAGGTAGGACATGGATCAGAAGGAGGGCATTCAGCCTCTGCTTTCTGATCAGTATATCCTCAGATCGCTTCTTCCTCTCACCCCCAGAAGGCCACCACCCCCGCTCACCCCTCCGTTGCAGCTTCATTCATTATGCTCAGGATAGGAATGGCTGCCACAGCCCTGAGATTTGGAGCACATACTGCCTGGATGTGGGCGCCCCGTGACCCACCTGCCACCTGCCCTCCCCACCTATCTCACAGCTATCCCAACACGCCTAAATGCTTGCACCTCAGGACCACCACTTCTTCCCTCAGCATCAATTGAGGTGTTGTCAGTTGGCTATTTACCTGCCCCTGAAGCAAGCAATTCACCTGAGAAGATTCTCAATCCTGAGTAACAGGACAATCAACATAAACATCCACAATACAAAGCATCCTTTTTTAGGACATAAGAAATATTTTCTTTAGTTTCCAGTTTTCAATTAAGCATTGTTAGATTTCAAATCAAATGTTGGCACTTAAAATCTATTCATTTCTTTTCCCAGTGGAATTCAACTGCTCCTATCTGCTCTTTACAAAGTTGATTTTGAATAGTGAACATTTAAATGAAAATAAGAAACTACCTCTTTACATGTAATAATCTGAAATCTCACAGCAGAACCACTTCATCTAATGGCTCTGAAGTATAAGGAAAGCAAAAAGGAACGTGAAAAATTTCCCCCAAAACAGCTTTCGCAGTTTTGTTTTACACAGTTGTATGCTTTAAATGAAATTATTCCGGGGTGTAAAATATTAACCAAAACATAAAGGCAGTTTGGAGCAAGAAAACAGGACCAAGCTGAGATCTCTAATTTGCATGTAGTACTATGCAATTATTTTTATAACCTATTTTCATACATTGTTAATATGATATAAAATAAACTTTCGACTGTCACAAGTTCCCATTCTTTATACAATCTTGCATCATAGCTGGTGGGCTCCCAGAAAAAGAGCTCTGTTCTAATCAACTGGCTGAGCAACTCATTTCCTAATCTTCAGGCTCCTAGTTTAAACCATGGCAGAACCAGCTTCCCTCTTTAGTCTTCTTACCTCAAGCAATCTTTATGTAGCAAATACATATTTAGTGCCTACTGTGTACCACGCTCCACTGATATATACCATGGCTCTTCATTTAACCCATAGAAGAATGTGTCCATTATCCTGAAACTTATTTCAAACTTGTTTTTGCTTTTGTTTTAATCCACAATGACTCTAAGAATTCTTGTTTGGTGAAGTTTGACAATGGTCGTGATCCTCTGTGCATTAGCACCTCTTGGTGGGTCTCCACAGCACCCAAAGGTCAGCTCTGAACCCTTATCATCTAGGATTCTAGGTGGCAGCTGTCACTCATGAGCCTGAATGTAAATCATAGAGGAGATGAAACCTATCGGTGAGGAACAAGCAGAGGACACTTGTGAGGGTCCCCAGTATTTTGTAAAGGACTCCAGGGATCTTGCCTGAGAACCTAACTACACAGCTTCTAGAGTCGATGCAACAGAGTATTCCAAACAAAAATAACCCTCTCCTACCTTTTTTTTGAGACACATATAATTTGAAAATTCTCGGGACTGTTTATATGAATACTGATGCGTTTCATATATTTTTTATATAATCTCATTTTTATATTCACCCTTTTACAAAAAGTTCTCTATATCTATGCGTACATTTAGGTCATTTTCAGCCTGAATAACTGAATATCAATAACTTCCCACAGTTTTGACAAAATCTCATTATTTTCATAGGAGTTCCCTCTTCTTTCTTTTTACAGTGTAAAAGTACACACAGATTTTACCATTGGCATTGAACATAAAATAAACATAAAACATAAAAATCCAACAGTGGCCATTTGTCTTGGGTCACTCATCATAACTGAGCATAAAACTTCTAATATACTCACTGTTCCTTTTTTTTCTAGGTGCATTCTTAATACTTTTCTGTTTCTAATAAGAATGCTCTAATTCTAGCTGAGAATCATCGGCTTCACCAAGAGGATCATCATCATGCTGAAAATGGAAGTTGTCAACTTCCTACCAACAGAATGGGAGAGAAAGTGGCCCTGGCCACTGGTGCTCTTCAAGTGCCCACAGTTACGTAACAGACAGATGAGTCTGAAATGATGGCAGGAGAAGAAGCATAGCACCCGTTATACCCTGCAACCATTCATAATTTGTGTTGCTGAAAAATCGTTGGCTGCCTGCAGGAGCGTTTTTTGTTTTCTGCTGTAAAATGTACTTACCCTAAAGAATAGAGGCGGCACTGCTTGTTGCGAATTTGATGACCTAAGCCAAACCTGTCATCAAGACAGACAGACCAGGGCTTTTTTGAAGGGCTGGAGTCAGTAGCCAGGCTGTCTGTGCTCACGTGATCACACGCAATCTGTAAGGATTGGAAATCAATGTGAATAATTTAAAGCACCGGGGTGATAGATGGTAGGTAGAGATTTGACTGCTTTCCCAGTCCCTGAAAACCGTAACGGGAGAGTTATGTCCTTCTCCACTGCTAACTACTCCCCTCCCCAGGGAATCACAAGACTGCTGTAAAATGTTTGGAGGAATTCCAAATACTAGATTATAAGTAACCTCATGGAGACTAGAGGCAGGTTTGAAGGGAAGTTAAGAACTGCTATAGCCTTGTGCATGGAGTATACAGGGGAGAACAAATCAGGAGCAAGGAAGGCAGGGAGGAAAAGTCAGGAAAGCTCTGCAGAGGTGTGTCAGTCTTGGAGGAGGAACAGAAGTTGACTAAGAGGCTGAGACCAAGAAGGGCATTCCAGACATGGAGAACAGTGCTCCCAAACCACAGAGGTCTGTTACCCACAGCATTCCAATTAGAAGTTGTGAGATATGACCAAGAGCATAGATCTTTGAAGGATACAAGATTATCTACTCTTTATCTCAGGCAGATAAGGTCAGGCCATCATGGTCTGACCAAGCAATGTGTTAACCAAGGTAAACAGCTTGGGGTCAAGTGAGACTAATGCATAGTTCCTACTAACAAAACAGTACTCTCTGGGTTACACTGGTCCATTGAAATTCCTCCTGGGGGGAAAGGGCAAGAGCCCCAGCCAGGAAGGAGGTTTTCCAGAGCTAGCCAAAGCAACTCTCTTAACTCATCCATCAAAATTAGATAAGAAAACCAAAAGGAACATGTATCTAAGTCAAGTGGAAGGAAGCCAGTCTCTAATTTCAAATGTACATTAAGTAAACATACTTAGTGAGGAATTCTGACTTGTGTTGGATGCTGGCACTGTGTGCACAACTGAGGCTGTTGGAACCAAAGAAAACAAGTTCTGTGGCCAAGGTATTTATCTTACTGAGCAATAGTATTTCCGCCTAATCCCTCAAAACTCTCACAGTCGCCATGATGCTCCATGAATCATGCAGCAGCTCTTGCTGTCACATCACAGACAACAGACCACTCCAGATGCAAAGGATGTTTTGAGGTTCATTGCTTTAATGCATTAGAAAACATAACAGGACAATTTTCTTCTTAAGAAGGTACTCCAGACTTGCCCAATCCTTTTACTAATTTAACTGATTTTCCAAAATGTTAATCTGAAAAGAGCATATTACGTGGAGCCAGCATCTCCCTTATTCTTGCTGTAATCTAGGGCTGGCCTGGCAAAATTATCCCAGCACTATCTATCAGTGACTGAGAGAGAGCCTTCTGCTAGAATCTGGACATTTTATAGGAAAGTTTAAAAAGTGAAATCCTAAATATTTATCTGTTCTTTTCTTTTGATGAAATAAAAACTCACATTTTAAGGCAAGAAAAATTTAAACATGAAATTTTATAACCCACCACACGCCTTGTATGTGCAGACATCTTTGGTGAACTTTATGTACAATGCAAATACATCTTTCCCCTTAAAGATAAGAGACTGGTGCAGAACAGACTGGGTCAGATGACCTGGGGAGATACTGGGCCTCAACTAATGGAAATTCTTAGCTTAAATACTTAGGACCTTATTAATGTTACTAGCTATATTACTTGTAGTCTGCCTATTTTGCAAGATAATTGTTTCTTGTAGTACTACCATATGTGTGATGGAGCCTTCAATAAAATTAATGATGATTAGATGACTTGAAACAACTGACCAAATATATAGTCCTGTAAGATCAAAGATTGTAATAGTGTTAACTTTGGACATGAGAAGCAACAAGAGCAAGCATTTCCTAGACCATAACAGACTAGAAAGACAGATGGTCCAGAGGCTTTTGACTACACTTAACAGGGCCAAGTCCAGTAATAGCACATTAAGTAGCCTATCAATGAAATCCTTGACTGACCTGGGAATGAGCATTCCTAGTGCCGTGAGACAAATTGATCATGAAATGCCTCCCAAACCTTGGTCAGAATTAAGACCAAAAGGGAGGGGATTGTAGAATAAAGAATGTTGCCCACCACCTAGTTCTACAAGAATCTCATTAGCCACTGCAGTCACTGACCTACAGTACACCCTGAAAGGAATTCAGGGCAAAAATCAGGATGAGACATTCTGTGCTCTGGAAAAACTGGCAGAATAGGCCTTCAGATAGTTAGATATTTTCAGGGGAAAATGTATGAATCCTGTTTCTTGCATCTGCCCATACTTAGAAAAGCACTATAACTATTAACTAAGATACCTGTTCCTTGCTATTAATAGTAACTTTCTACCAAGATGTGTTATTGATTGCACGGACCCCTTTGTCAAAATCATATATCTACTAACCTCCCCCCTAACCTCCTCAGAACAGTCCTCAGAGCTGAGAGACCATCTCCCAGGTAATAATCCTCAGTTTGGCCTGAATAAAATTTTCCATTTCTTTCTCAGGTTCACTATTGATTAATTTTTGTCAATATCCTCAACCCAGTATCTTGCTCTCAATACTTCTCTATCCACAGCCATGGTTTAAAGAAAAAAGTGATAATAGAAAATGGAATTGAATCTTCTCTCAAGCAACTAGTACAGAACACACTTATTAACTGGATCCATCAACATGTTAATTTGTATAATTCATTTTCTACGATTGTCCCACAAATAAATGGAAATTATGCCTCTGCCTGCCCACTTCTTGCCTCCACTCACCCACCCAAAGGAGAAGCTGCTAATCTAATTACTCAAAGCTCAATGTTCATCTGGCTGGTTTTCACTAGTAGGTAGATTATGATGCCTTCAACCTTCACTGGAACTTGGTTCCACGCCCTGGCTCCTGCAGGCAGTTAGTTAAGCCCAGGCAGTTTGGTGGGCCCCAAAGACGTGCCTGGATCTCTTAAGACTAAACCTTTTGTTCTAGGGCAGCTTCCTGGGGGTATTTTTATTAAAGTGGTATGATGATTTATTTATTTATTAAAATGGTATGATGATTTGCTATTGTTTCTTTGTATGTACTCTCCCTAAGAGCCTCCAAAAGACAGATCAGGAGACTGACATTCGCAGGTGCTTGTTCATAGTACCCTCCCAACACCATTTAAACCTAACTCTAGCCTCTCCCACTGCGTTTCTCAAGGTGTGGCCCACCTACATTCTGATGGATGTGGGAATACTTAAAAATGCAAATTCTTGAGTCCCACTCCATTCTATAAAATCAGAATCTTTGAGGCCGGTGCACGTGAACATGCATTTTAATAAGCTCCCCCAGGTGATTGTTACGCAGGTGGTCCTGTGAGTTTCCTGGCAGCCTTTTGTAAAGTCCCACTGAAATGTTCCAGCCTGGCCTCACCTGTGCCTTAGCAAATTAAGGGAAGAGGCTACACTTGGGCCAGAGCTTTCAACTGAAAACAGCAGCCTCTCCAACCTCACCCCTAGCAAAGGGCCAGAGAGGCGGCCCCTACAGTTAGCCAGAGGCCCCCAAGAGTCTGCTAAGTATTAATGGTCAAGATAGAGGGCTTTGAGGTTCAGCTGCTCCTCCACTGAACCTTGAGGAGTGGGGTTTTATTCTATTAAAGTTAACACTTTAAGCATTTCTTCTTCCTCCACAGACTTCATCTTGCACAGATATCCCTACTGGAAAAACATTCTTTTCCATTCAATCTGCTAATGTTCCCCTTTCCTCTCCTAGCTCAAAAATAGAACACAGAAATTTTAACCATTTATTAACCATCTCATTTATACACATTAGCTTCTGAAAACAACTAGGAGTAAGGACTCAGTAAAATTCAGCTCCTAAAAATTAATTAAATATTGATTTTTCAATCTTTCTTGTTAAGATTTATGGCCAGGGCTTCAATGAACTCTCTTGTGAGTAAAATCAGCGAGGGCAGTAACTCCTAGCTAAGCTCTAACTCAGGTAATTATGGGTTTTTTTCTCCCTCTCTCTAATTCCCCTTGTAATTTTAGCCATATAAACAGAATTAAGCCTGGACAAAGGAAAATAGACTCCAGGAAAAAGTGTTTTCTGAAATGCTTTTTAGTTATTTAACTTGAGGGATCTAATTTATTTTCATTTCATTTTGTATCCCAAAAGCCTGAACAGCATTTCTGCCAACCCATAAGTAGAATCTGGCAAAGGGAGGCCTTAAATTTTGGGGACTTGGCAAGAATTACTTCAATAATCAAACTGTATGTTAATGAAATACATTATTTTGAAAGGTAAAATATCAAGGAAAAAGTTGTATTTTTGTTGCTTTTATCCCGGTTTGTGTGTGTGTGCATGTGTGTAGCAGTAAATATAATAGAAACTTCTTGTAAAAAAGTTTGTAAAATTTGTAAAATCTGAATCTCTAGATCCATAGGTTCTTATGTCATTCTTACAATCAGTTAGATGGGTAGATGATTAGATAGATAGATAGACTGACTTTAAAACGTATTTTTTCTTTTTAAAACAGCAACTGTTGCTTAGATTAATTTCATACTGCAAGCCATGCTTCCTGAAGGCATATGGTTCGGGGGTTGCCATAAAAAGCTGGATCTGGAGCCTTCCTTTAGAACAGAGCACTGGGTTTATGATTTAACTGTTGCTTGTTAGCAGCAGTGTATCGTCTACTCCAGAACTCAGAGATGTAACCATGGCCTTTCACATTAGATAACAATACCTAGTAAAACTGAGCTTGATATTATGCCCACTCTACCCAAATACCTTGCTCTGTGCTTCTGTTCCCAAGCTCCTTTGGCCTGGGGAAGTTTACCCACCCCATCTGTCCACCCTGTTAGAGAACACACGGCTCTCTTGCATGCTAACCGTTCACCAGTGTGTGTGGGGGGGGGGGGTATTTAATTCCGGTTTGACATCCCAGCCAGTGCCTAGCACAGTGTCATACACAGAGCAGGTACTCAACAAATGCCTGCTGAATTGAGGAATGAATAAATCAACTGATAAACATATCAAATGCTAGGTAGGCCTTGCTGTACAAGCTTGAACACGGATTTCAGGGAAATATATATATATATATTAAAGCAGTGTAAGAGGATGGAGGTGGAATTTGCTTAAGTACTTACAGAGGGGTTTTTTTGGGTTTTTTTTTCCCTTGCCCATTATGACTCACTACTGCTAACTGTGAAAATTTTAGGTAATAGTGACTCTAATATTCTGCCAGCTTTGTAGGCTTTCATTGTCAAGATGAGTTCTAAATGAGGCATAAGCTCCCAAAGCAGCCAAAAACTCTGCATTACACAGAGAGGGGGAGGGAGCATTGGTCAGTAGGATTCTGATTAAACCAGTTAGTGTCATCTCTGATGAGCTCCCACCTGCTGGTCTAGTGACTTGGAAGCACACAAAAGCACAGGACTTTAACTGGGTAAAATGACCTCTGATTGCAAAACAATTGTGAGGTCTGGAACCTTATCTTGTTCTTTCTAGAGGATGAAAAAATCTTCTAGCGAGCTTTAACAAGCAACTCTCTATTATTATACTCATCAAGCTGAATAATAATTATATGTCCATTTATCTACCTTCCCAACTAGTTTGTTAGCCACGTGAGGGCAGAGACTGTATTCCCAAGGCCTATGCTCCTGGCACATAGTAGGTGCTCAGTAATACTTGGTTAATAACAATTCTACACTAGTCTTAACAAAGTACAGGCTCACGGAGCTGGGAGGAACCTTAGAAATAATATGATACAATCTCTTCGTTTTCAAGATCAGAACAGCCAGAGCCAAACAAGCAAAATAACTTGCCCAGGGTCACAACACTGAGCTACATCACAGGATGCTTTTCTTAAAGAATTTTTTCCCTCTCAGCCCATAACTCATGGGAAAACTCCAAGAGGGGCTTGAAACAACACTTTCACGCCTCAAGAGCTTCTTCTAAGTTAACATGCCTTTTATAAGTTACAGAACATTAACCTGAAATACATATAAAACAGAATTTAGAGGCTTTCATGTGGTCAATTTATACTGGGGGGTGAAGCTCACAATTCTCAAATTCAACTCATAAATTTAACACCTCTCATTTTTCTCTAGGGCTTTTAAGGGCTTCTTATAGTCATAGTTAAGAGATCCAGCTTCTTATTCTTCGTGTAAAACCAAACTATAAAATTAAAATTTCAGTATTTTAATTGTCTGTGTAAGTCCACCAAATTAATTTGCAGCAGCAAAATAAGATGAAATTATGTAAAGCACAGGGACCAATTTATCATCCCATTACTCATGATGAATTCAACAAGCTTTTACTTCCATGTCTAGGTGACAAATATTAAAATTCCTGGTTGTCTGACTGCATCATATGAGAAATGGGACTTGCTTTTACCCCTAAACTAGCCTTCTAAAATTCCAGAAATATATGCTCTCCCATGGATGAAAAACGGGCTTGGCCGCCAGTGAGGTTTGGGAGGGGAAGTGGGTTGCCAAGAGCGAGTGGGCCGAAGGGAGATCAAAAGACCCAGGGACCCCCAGTGCCATACCAGCCCCATAGTGCAGCCTCCTCAGCTGCAGCTTCACAGGCAGTCTGAGTTTCTAATTTACTAGCACCTCTCAGTTCAGGGCGAAGTTTCCCTCGGGCCTTGATTTTCTTTTCCGTCTCTCTTTCCTCAGGATCAGGCTACTTGAGAATGGAACCTCCTGATTAATATGTCAAGAGCCATAGACTCTCCTTAATGGAGGGTCTCTGCCTGCTCGGGTCGCCGGGGCAGGAGCTGCCACAATGTGTTAAGTCACTAATGAAGGCCAGTGCTCAGTAATGATTTAAAGTGCCTTAAGAACAGAGAGTCTTCGGATTCAGTAGCTTCTCTTCCTGCTGCCTGCAAAGCCTCCTTTACTCTCTGGCCTAATGCATCCCTGTCTGCCAAGCTTCTGTGGCAGAAAAGCGAAAAGGCAGACTTCTCCAAATACAAAATGGAATTTGAACCTCCAGATGATGGTTTTGGTTTGTGACACACTGGACTGCCTACTCATGGGCACGAATCTGTCGCTTCACATGGTTTTCCAAAACAATTTTCTAAAGTGGATCTTTAAAACACATCGGGATGAATCATTAAAACATCTCAGGGTGACGATACTCCTGGAAGGGATAAGATGCCGAAGCAGATGGAAGGCATCTATTATATGCCTCTAAGTGAGTGAATATATTTAAGCAGCAAGGCATCAGAAACTCTATCAAGTCCCTATCAGGAGGCACTGAGAAACTCCCCAGCCTTCTTTAAAAGGGGGTAATTAGTGGGACTTCCCTGGTGGTCCAATGGTTAAGAATCCGCCTTCCAATGCAGCGGACTCTGGTCCAACCCCTGGTTGGGGAACTAAGATCCCACATGCCATGGGGCAACTAAGCCCGTGCGCCACAACTACAGAGCCCATGCACCACAACTAGAGAGAAGCCTGTGCACCGCAACTAAGACCCAACGCAGCCAAAAATAAATAAATAAATAAAATTTTTAAGGGGGCAATTAGCGTCTTTTACAGAGTCTCCATACCCACTTGTGCCTGAAACACAACCTGGATGGTGCTGATGTATCTCAGGAACCTCAAGGCTTCTTCATCCAGGGACCGAGCAGGGCCTGCCCAAGGCTGGAGGTCTATATGCCACCGGGGACCCTGTAAGGAGAAAACATAGGTCAGTGTGTAAGGTATCAGGAGCTTGGGATGGGGGTGGGCAGGATGCAGAGCATCAGGGAAGCAAGACTACTAGCCGCCTGCAAAACAAACACGGCTGCACTTTGCGGCAGGGAGTTGGTTCGGAGCTGCTATAGGTAAGGCCACATCAATCACAGGGAGACAAATGAGGCCTGAGAAAGCCCAGCTACCAGATTAAGCAAGAGACTGCAAAAGCTAGAGGGGATGTCTGTCTCGAGCTTCTGATCAAAGGTAAACTCCACTCGACCCCGTCAGGCTCTCTCAGCTGCGGCTTTGTATTACCCGGAGCCGCTCCCCGTTGTGGAGAAAACCTCCCCTGCCTACTATGGTTTCCAAGGCTTAGAGCTTCAGAAATAGGTGCCTCCTAGAGGCCAGTTTTGTTGTCATGGTCCCATAATGCCTGAATCCTCAGGGCGCTTGGGCACCTTCCCCCCGAGCAAGCAGCGGGCGGCACCCAGAGTTCTAGACCTCAATGCACCTGTCGTCTGGACCATGCACCTGCCAACAGTCCCTGGAGCTGGCACTACCACAGCTGGCAAGGGTGGCCTTCTAGCACTGTGAGACAACCTCCAGCTTTCAGCTGAGGACATGAGGAGCTCCCAGGAGCAGGGGGATCAGAACCCTAAGCCCCCTTTTACAGCAAGGGTAGAGTGGCTGAAGGGTTGGAGGAAAGTAGTGGTGATCTAGAAGAATAAAAAATGGGGACCCCTCCAATCAAAAGGAAGCACTAGTCATAAAATCCTTGCTAGAGCTCAAGTTCCCCGCCTATAGCTGTCACCACCTGGAAACCTCCGGAGGCTCACTGTGATCCCAAGGGCAGAGTACTGCCCAGAGTGTATGATGCGGAAGTGCAGGGGCCTGGGCAGGGAGAAGCCCCAGCAGCTGGCAGGGTGAACATCTAGCGTCAGGAAAGACTCTGGGGGTCTGGGCACAGGGGTTCCTGCAGAGTGGTTAAGATGGGCCCCTAAACCCCATTTTAAGGTGAGGAAAGGGGCAGGGGAGGGTTCTGGGGACAAAATAAAGGGACTGTTCATGTACACACATTGTTCTCCAGTCAGGTATTGCAATGGTCTGAACGTCTGTCTCCCACCCCAAATTCCTATGTTGAAATCTGAATGCCCAGTGTGATGATGTTAGGGGGTAGGACTTTGGGGAGGTGCTCATGTCATGAGGGTGGAGGCTTCATGAATGGAATTAGTGCTCTTTTAAAAGAGACTCCTTATAGCTCCCTAGGCCCTAACACCATGTGAGGACACAGAGAGAAGTCAGCCATCTGCAGCCCAAAACAGGGCCCTCACCAGAACCCAACCATGCTGGCACACCAATCTTGAACGTCCAGCCTCCAGAACTGTGAGCAATAAATTTCTGTTGTTTGTAAGCCAGCCAGTCTGTGGTATTTTGTTATGGCAGCCAGAATAGCCTAAGACAGGTATTATGGCAAGAACTGTCTGTCACCCACAAAGAAACATCGAAACAGGCTAGCCCTGAGGCACTTTAGTACATTTATGGTTTTTTTGCCCCTAAATGGGGTGGCCTAGGTTACTTGGGGTTAAACGGAAAGCAAGGAAGAGCGGGGGACAAGCAGGTTAGTCAGTGTGGAGCCAAGTGTGTGGGCCTGGGGAAGAAGAGTACACTCTGGCATGAGGGTCAGAGATAAATGCAGACACTTTGTAAGTGGTAAGGCGTTATTCCAGGTTAGGCATTATGAGACTCATATCACTGCACCAAGTCCCCAGAACCCACAGTCTTATTGGCTAGTCAGGTCTGCACTGCCTTACGGTGGCGGAGACCCCTGCAGTCCTCTGGACTGAAAAAACCCTCAATGATTTCCCACAGGCTGTCTTTTCCTCAGGAATCCTTAAGGCAGGGACAGTTTCATGGGCATGCAACCTGCACAGTCTTAGAAGGGCTTGTGTTTGGCTCAGTGCTGACACCCTTAATAATTTTTTAACAAGAGCCTCCACATTCTTATTCTGTGCTGAGCCCTGAAAATTATGTAGTCAGTCTGCCCTGAGGGGCACCTTTTTTTGGGAAACAGGCTTTTCATATAGCTGTTCCTGTTCTGTGAAGGTTGAGTAGGCAAAGAGACTCCAGTCAGAGAGAGCCTGAGAACATTAAGTAATGTATCTTCCCAGTTAATGGCTCCCACCCCCTATTTCTTTGTTCCTTCTCTAAATTAGCTGTTGACTAGCATTCAGTCAAACAATACTTATTGAGCATCAGCCACTCTGTGCCAGGCACTGGTCGGCACACGTGGGAACAACACCTGGAGGCTCCTGGGAGGTGCTCACAGTCTGGTGGGGGAGACAGATACATACAAGATAAGTTTGACAGGGAAATGCTGAAACGTTAGGGAAAGTCATTCTTTCTGGGAAATTACTTAATTATGAAATCATAAATGACATAATGACAAAAAGGGTCTTCCCAGGCTGCCGCTGCTGTCAGCACAGCAACGCAATGCTGCATGCAAGTTTGTCCAGTCCTGGGGTTTAAAACTCCCCACATCATTGTCGTGGGACCCTGAAAAGTACCCTGGCACCTGGCCCAGGCGCGTCTTGATGAAAATGATAAAGTTCCCACATTATGGTTTTCCTCTAAATCAGGGATCTGTAAACTTTTTCTATAAGAGGTCAAACAGCAAATATTTTAGGCTTTGCAGGCCATACAGTTTCTGTTGCAATTCCTCACCGCCTGTTGTAGCTCAAAAGCAGCCAAAGACAGTAAGTAAACAAATGGTCAGGACTGTGTTCCAATAAAACTCCAGTTACAAAAACAGCCAGCAGGCTGGATTGGGCCTGCAAGGCTGTAGTTTGCTGACCCCTGCTCTACTTGATTCTAATTTGGTTGTAGACCAGCCTAGGAGAGTGTTTACTTGAAATAATGCAAGAGACACAGATTATGATATCTAGGTTACAAACAACTTTGTCATCTGGGTGACTGGGGAAATATCGGCCAGGTCCCAGCAGGATACAGTGGGAAGAATTTAATAGAGAGACTATTTATAATACAAAGGTGTAGGCAGAGTTTAGGAAACAAATAAGGAGTAATGCAATACCTGTGGCTGGTAGCACCAGGGAGCCCTTACAAACCCTGAGCCTGAAGGAGCAAGGAGGGGGAGGAATTTGTGGAACCCAGAGAGGGAAACTGCACGGAGAAGGTGTTTCATGGAAGAACACAGCCAATCCCATCACATCCAGCCCTATTACATACCCACCCTAACTGTCAAATCGAAGGAGAAGCTAGAGAAGAGGGAGGCTGTGGTTGGCCCACAGGTCAGCCTAGGGGGTGCAGAGCAGGAGGAGCAGGATGGAGAGTGGCTCTAGACAGGCAAGTGGAAGGCCTCCTGCACAGCATCTCTGGAAAGAGGCACTGAGACTTGACCAGGGAGTCATTCATTCATTCAGTGGCCATTTGTGCCTCGTGCCAGGCTCTGGGTTACAATTTAATATAGGACAGAGCTGTGTACACCAATAAATGCAATGAAGTTCTGCAAGAGCTTTGACTGAAATCTCTACAGGGCACAATGGGGTCACGGAGAGAAGTACCCAAGTACCACTCCAAAATAAATGCCAGAGAATCCAAATGTAGATTATAGGAAGCAGTCTCCAATGTGAGAAGCCCAAAACTCTCATTAAAAAGACAACTTAAAAACAGTAGAAGCACTTAACCTGGGCTAACACACGAAAGTAATGTCACAGATCAATAACAGTGAATCCATACGGTGACTCAACATGACAAAACTATATAATTATCTTAAGAATCCACAAGCAGTATCCATCTTGCTATCTGATATTTCTCAGTTTCACTGAGCATTGACCACGACAAAGCTAAACGCGACAGCTGGAATGGTGAATAACATAAGTTGAGGGGCCTCAGGTGGGGATATAATAGAAATATACAGCAGACAGATGCCCTCAGAAGTGCTCCGGCTTAATGCTTTGGTTGAGCTGTTTAAAAAACATTTCACATAAAGTAATGTTCTCATCGGCATCAGTGTGACAGCAGTTTGTGATTATTTCCCCAAGGAAACCACTAGCTTTTATCATCTCTTTCAATTATCACTTGTCTTAATTCTCTAGTGCACACATCAATATTTGTCCTTCAAAGATCCCACAAACAGAATTCTCTGAGCACCTTAAAATACCCGTGGTTGGTGTTTACTAGTACAAGGCAAAAAAACTCATCTTTTTCTTTTAAAAAGATTTTATCATTATGATTTTACCCTCAAACAGTTCCCTAAAATGCCAGCGTCCACCATTAGCCATGTGCTCCAAATATCAAGTGGCCAGGGCAAGGCTACCCCCCTCACTCCCAGGGGGTGGGAAGGTAGATTCCCAGTCCCTTTTGTCACCCCCACTTCCTCTTCAGGTGGGTAAAGGAGCAGCTTAAGCAGAAGGTGGTGGAAGTACAGTCACTGGGGTCATTGGGGGCTGGTCTGTCTGTCCCCGGCAGGCTTGAGCTGAAACGTCAAATGAAGCATACACAATGTGTTGCCACAGGGGAGCGGCCAGGCTCCTGAGCCCCTGCAGGGGCGGTGGGCAGGGTAGGGGGGCATTGTCCAATTCCTTTGCAAATCTGTGGTCCGGCCCCCTACCTAAACCACCAGGCCAGTCGTTCAAAGGAGCCCCTCCCACAACAAAGACAGCCATCCCAGAAAAGGCAGGGTCCCAGGTTTCTGAGGAAAGGCAGCAGCCCCCACCCCTTTTCGTCTGTGAAAGATTCATCCTGCACTTCCTCCAGGAAACATGCGTTGCAAAGTGAACTGGTTTCTTCTAACGAGGGGAAATGTTTTGATTATACAGAAAAAAATTCCAAAAATTAACACTAAGCAAAGGATTCTATACACAACTAACTCATGTTGTTTGGGGGTTATTTTGCAGACATCTGAGCATCTCCTCCCAAAGGGTAAAAAGTGATCACTGAGTCAGCCCAAGTTGGTGCACAGAGATGATGGATCTGGC